GTGGAATTTATGTACTTACAGTATTTGGGCGGTCTGAAAATGAAGAAGGTAGAAGTCCATACTTAGACATAGGTAATTTAGAACCTCCTTCATCTAAAATTATGTCAAAGAGACAAAGTGCAATTCAACAACAACGATTACGAGCACAAGAACCCAAAGTACTTCTAGATTAAAGTTAATAACATAATCATAATAATATATATTGTACAGTAATGTGATATTAAAATAACTGATTATTGTGACTTTAAACGAAATCAGATTAAAATGAAATATTAACTAATTTTAATGAGTGGTGAAATTTTTAGAATTTTTTTTTTTTTTAGCTTTATTTTAGGTTTTTGGCTAGTATTTATGTTTTAATAAATAAAAGAATATAAGTGAGTTTTATAGACCCAAATTTCATTTTAATCTGTGAAATTAATGTCAAGAACATTTATGTATTATTCGTATCTAATTTGCTCATGATTTGAGGATATCAAGCATTTTAAATTTCCCCCAAATACAAGATATATTGTCGAAATATATACATGATAATTAGGTTCATATTTTAACATAATCGATGCGGAGCCATTTTACGAATTGGCTAATCCAATCACTAGATCACGAGACAATTTATATGTGTCTCAATACTACATTAATCTTGTAGTCCAGTGAAAGATTCGAGAGATTTTTGCGTCATTCATAATGGTATGAATTGATCGAAGCACTAGTTATCTAATTAACAAATTTATAATAAAATCTTTTTTAATTGGAGATACCCTAGTAACTCGTTGGCTGATGACTCAAAATGACCTGTGATTTATGATCTGTCATAATCATTTGGTCATAACGACAGTTTATATTACTTAATGACCTCTTAGTATTGTATATAAGAACCATACTGTATAGTACTCGGCAAAATCAAACTTTTTTTCGACACTCAAATACATGTGACGGGCTGACTTTTAAATCAATTCAGCAATATATACTATATTTTATTGCTGTAATGTATTGATTTAAAAGTCAGATCGTCACATTGGGGTGTGCGATACTATATAATTAAACTTATGTAGATCATCGTAATATGAAAAATTTTTTCATAGGTAGTGACTTTTCCGAAATTTATATAATAAAATACGTTTTTTTAATTGCTACTTCTCTTTTATTTTTAAAGATAAATATATAAAATTTACTTAAACTAATAGAGAATAAGCTATAATTTTATGCTTCAGAGAGATTTTTAGTTTATGAAATAACAAATCATGCAAAAACTCTTAAAATTTTTTTATCATAAATGTTTTTCGTTCTATTGCAATTTTTAATAAAAATTTATATGAAATAAAAATTTTCTCTCTGTATTAGTATTTTATATATTGCCTTCAACTAAAATATATAAATTTTTTATAAAAAACTAAGTCTTTTTGGAACCTTAACGATTTAAAAAAAAATGTATTTTACTATATAATTTCGGAAAAGTCATGAGCTACGTATGAAGAAATTTTCCTTATTGAGATATATATATGATCTACATAAGTTTGTTAATTATATAGTATCACACACCCCATCGTCACATGTATTTGAGTATCAAAAAAAGTTTGATTTTGCCGAGCACTAATATTGTACTAATTTAATATGGGTTTAAATCTAATATTTGATATAGAAATTTAAAAAACTTATACAGTATAACTATACTTTCAATACACAGTACTATTTGATTTAAAAATTTCGAAGTTATAATTTTTAAAATTAAAAAAGAGAAGTAATCTTAATTATATAGCTATATACAGTATATTATTGTAGTTAAAATACTGTATCTTAATAATTATCAAATCAAATTTAATAAAATTTTATTTTAAATTATACTTTAATTATATAAAAAAATTTTATTAAATTTGATCTAATAATTATCAAAATATCTTAATTTAAAAAAAAGTTTAAAAAATTTATTTAAAAAAATTATTATTTTTTATATTCTACATATATACTGTATATATTATACTATATTGTATATTATTTTTGATAATAAATAATTTTTAATTTATTGGTTTATTTTGAATGATTTTTATTGTTAAAATATTATAATTATTTCAGTAAAATAATTTTAAAAAGTTTAAAATTATTAAAAATTTAATTACAGATTTACACAAACTTAAAATATTATTTGTATTGTTTTAAATATCTTAAAACTTATTTAATTAATCAAAATATTTAAAATAAAATAAAAAATTTAATAATATATTTTAATAATTTTAAGCTTGTTAAAATTGGTTTATTAAGATAAAAATTTTTAATAATAAAATTATTTAAATCAAACTACAGTAATAATCAAAAGTTATTTATTATTGTTATAGAATAGATTTTTAGTATTAGCTTTTTGAATATATAAATATTAGTATAATTATTATTTTATCATATTG